TCTGAGGAAGATTTGGGACCCTTTGACCTCCGCAAAAGCAATACAAGATGAAATCAGAGTATGATATATTTAATTTATTATCCCAAAAAATTTAATTTATAGTTTATACATATACATATATATATAGAGAATAAATGAATACTAAATTTATTTATTTTTTTCACATAAATTTAACAGTAAATAATTCTTTTTAATATTTTCCTAAATCATGTCACATTTTCACAATTTTTTTTAATCATTTTTATTTTTATTTTTAATAATTCTATACATAAATATATAATTAGAAAAATAAAAATAAGATAATAATTATATATACCAAATGTAACTAGATGGGTGAGTTATAGTCCAGAATCGGATTCAGATTAGATCACATTGAGAACCGATTACGGGCGAAGGTCCAAACTAAAAATTACATCGTTGTACAAAATCAGTATTTTTAGATTCGATCTGAAGCGAAGTAGATTAAAATGTTAATAATATAGAAAAATAAAAATTACATTTATATTTTTTGTTATCATTTTATTTTTTATATTTTCGATTCAAACAAGTCTATTTTGACATGGATCGAGACTCGACCCATATGAACTAATCTTTTTAAATTCCTTGGTGTATAAACCAAAAAATCAAAGCAAACATTATTTTGCCCGATTCTATTCAAACAGAACGATATCTATTCCGATTTTTTATTCAGACCCGAAAAAAACACAATTTTACACAACTTTAAACATAAATTTAAAAATTTTGTGAAATTTATTTGTTTTAAAATGATAAAATTGTGAAATTTAATTACGAAAAAAATTAAATGTCTATATTTATCTTATCATATTGTTATTTTATATATATAGGTTATAAGGAAGCTCGGGGAAGAATCAAGGAAGGAAAATTGGGAAGGCAGGGAGAAAATTAATTGTATCGAAGAGAAATTCAAGGAAATCGAGAAGATCAGAAGCAGTTTGATGAAGCAATCAGATGATTTATGTCGAAAAAGAGATGAAGCAATCCAATGCATTCTTAAATTAATCGAACAACGCCGTGAAGCTGTATGTAATTGCTTACATTCCTTTTATGTATAACAATTTATTTTTCTAAAGAATTTAACCGTCACGAAATGTTATTTTTTTTTACGTAATCGTAATAACTTGTTAAGATAAAATTTAATTTAATCACTGCAGTTTCATTAATATACAACTGATTTGAGTTACAGATCAATATAATCAAATATTATGAGTCGGTCGTTGTTATTCTATACTGCATTTATAATGCTGCGAGTTTCGCATGTTCATTAAATCCAA